ATATTTTCAAAAATTATTTAGCTTAAAATGAATTATCCTTGAAAAATTTTGGGCACATATATTAAAGGGAATTTCCAGTAGTGGAATTTAACAGTCATTGAATATATACTTACCATTAGAGGCCCGGTGCACGAATTCGTGCATGAGTGGGATCCCTCAGCCTGGCTAGCCTGGCTGGTCCTGTCCAAGGGAGGGGCCACAGGAAGTTGGCAGGCTGGGGGGAAAGGGACTGTGGGAGGTTGGCTGGCAGGCCCCAATCAGTCTTCTCCTCCCTCCTGTCTGGGCCTAGGGTGCAGGTGAACCAGATTTGGGGCTGTCAGAGCCCCAGGAGCAAGCTAACCAATGGCTTGAGGCCCGGTGCACAAATTCATGCATGAGTGGGATCCCTCAGCCTGGCTAGCCCAGCTGGTCCTGCCCAGGGGAGGGGCCACAGGAGTTTCCTGTCTGGGTCTGGGGTGCAGGGTGAACCAGATTTAGGGCTGGCACGGCCCCAGTAGCAAGGTCTGGGCCAGTGCACGTCATAGCTACTGGCTGATCGTCTCCCTCCTCCCTCCTGTCTGGGCCCAGGGTGTAGGTGAACCAGATTTTGGGCTGCCAGAGCCCCAGGAGCAAACTAACCAATGGCTAATTCCATGAGGAATTGGGCTCCCTCCTCCTTCCTCCTTCCTGTCTGGGTCTGGGGTGCAGGGTGAACCAGATTCAGGGCTGTCAGGGCCCCAGTAGCAAGGTCTGGGCCAGTGCATGTCATAGCTACTGGCTGATCATCTGGTTGTCCAGTTGTTCCAGTTGTTCTGGTCATTCTGTCATAATGGCCACTTAGGCTTTTATATATGTATATAGATTATCTCAAACCAGATGTCATAGAGGGAGGCCAATCTGTTGTTTTAATTTCACAAATTGGAACTTGGACTCAGGAGTGAAGATACTGCACTGAACACAAATTTTGAACTGAAACTGCTTTAAGTTTGTGCTTCTCTGGAAAGACTAGTATATCAGCAGTTTTATGGCCTTCCACCAAGCTCTGTGTGCAGCATGTTAAAATGAGACTCTTCCTGTCTGAGAATTCCTACTAATCCCTAAAACCTAGTATACTTAATGCCAAATAAATATACTTTCTAAAACAATTGCAGATAAATTAGGAGCACATGCAAAAATTTCATTTCAGTAAAATCCAGTCTCATTAACCTCCATTGGCTTTGGAAATCATTTTAGTAGTTTGTCCTTCATCAATATTACACACGTTGTGACTTACACTTTTAGAATATATTTTTAAAGATTTTTTTTTCTTGAAACCATGTACCACTATGGAAAGAAAGACTCCTATTATACTTTTCTTCAACAATAATAGGAATGATAATACATTTAAAATAATATAAATTAGTTAAAATATAAAAAATGATGAATAATAGCAATGATAAAATAGTGATTTAAAGGTCAAAAGAACTAACTAGTCTTATATTCTTCATCACCTCTCATCCTGCATCATCAATCAATCTCTGTCTCAGTAGTATAGGTTCACTCTACTTAACCCAGCTTATGTTCAACTCTAGAAATTGCCAAGTTAAGTTAAAGGTCTTTTAATATCTTTCTGATATTATTGCATATACTTTTAGAGCTATGACAGAATTTTTGGCTCCAAATATTATATTACTCCATATAATAAGATGAGCTTATAGCAACCTAGGTAGTAGACATTACATCTTTCTAGCTGCTCTTGCATCTAGGTGTGGCCATGTGCACATGCAATATAACCAGAATTATATGTATATTACTTGTGGGTTCTCAACCAGTCACTTTTTTCCTTCTGACTGTCTGGATATCACATTCAACCTTTGACCTTGCATATGCCTTCATGGATATTGAACAACGGAATGAAAGGAGCCTGAATCCCTGAATTACTTTGTGGAACCTAGAATGGGGGGACTGTGATATACTTTCTAAGCTGTAGTACCAGCCTCTTAAGTGATTTTGTTCCCCAATGTTCTCAGTTTATTCACTCTCTACTCCTACCATCAGAGAAATACAATTCAAAATGGCTCAGAGCATGTCTAGGAATCTTTAAAGTCTCTATCTTCTTTTGCAACATAGTCCATGATCCAGGTCCCAATCGATCTTTCTACATTATTTTCAGTGAATCTATTAATATTGGCTGCATTGGACTGGACTTATTCCTAGCATCTAGTCCCTACTTCTGTATATTTGCTCCTTCCTATCCTTTGCTTTAAAATATCTTTCCTTCAATCACTCTTGTTTCAAAAGTGAGTCATTCTTTAAGATCCAACAGAAATAGGACCTTCTCTATAAAGCCACCTCCATGTGCTGCAGGAAAACCATACTATTACCCAAATTAAAAATACCAAATAAAGACAATTTATAAAAATTGTGCAACAGCATGACAAAATAAGAATATATACTGAGTGGCCAGATTATTATGACCAGCCACATTATTATGACCACCTCATCAGTACTTCATTGACACTTCCAAAAATAATGAAAACTTCCTAAGCTAATACTCTCAAGGTTTTATTATTATTATTATTTGCATAACTAATTCACTTCATTGTACTGATAGGGTGGTCATAATAATCTGGCCACTCAGTGTATTTTAACTCTGAAAATAGGAAGTCTTGGATATAAACTCATACTAAAAGGTAAATATTCCAATAAAAATATGATTGGTAATATTACCTCACATATTTGAAGAAATAAAGAAATTTTCATTTTTCAATGTATTTTCTGATATTGTATTCAATGTAACAACTTTCTTGGAACAAGGCTTTCACTTTAGGAATATATTGTTGATCATGCTGTACTAAGAAAAAATGAATATCTGACATTCAACTGTTGTTACTTCGTTTTTACCATGCTCTCAAAGAGCCAATTTCAACCAAACAGATCAATGAAAGTGGAATTAACATTTTAATGTCTTTGAAAGCAACTCAGAATATTCTAAGCAGAGAAAAACAGGCAATGAAACTAACCCCAAATTGGTTCCATAACAGAACCCTTACTACATATATTCATCCAGAAGGCAACAGATGAAGCAAGTGACTAATTTGAATATACATTGAATTAAACTCTGTAGTTTTAATGCCTTAAAATTATATATTTATTTTTCTGAATTAATTTATTTTTTGAATTACTAAAATTCAAACATGAAGAGAAAATCTTCATAGGACATAATAAAACCAGAAAAGTGAGAGAAAATATGACTATCAGCTTTTATTTTTTTAATATATATTTTATTGATTTTACAGGGAGGAAGGGAGAAGGATAGAGAAAAACATCATGAGAGAGAAACATCAATCAGCTGCCTTATGTACACCCCATACTGGGGATGTGTTCGCAACCTCGGTACATGCCCTTGGCCTGAATCGAACCTGGGACCTTTCAGTCCACAGGCCGACACTCTATCCACTGAGCCAAACTGGTTAGGCGACTATCAGATTTTAAAAATGCAATGATTGTGACTTCTTTGCTGATTTTTAATAAATATTCACTTTTGAAATTTTTATTTTTATAGTACTTTATTTAAAGCAAACATTCAAAATATATAAATTCAGAACCTTTATAACCCCCCCACAGAGCCACCACACACACAAAATAAGAAATGGAAGAATGTTTCAAAACAGCGATTATCTCTGATTGTAAAATTCTTTAATGAAGAATGACTTGTTAATAATAAGAGTACTTAAAATGGAAGACAGAAATGAAACAGTCTAAACGAAAAATTAAAACAAGCAAAACACCCATATTGCCCCCTCCCCCCCTCAAAGTACTCCTGAGAGAAGCAGTAGCCCCCTGGCAGCCTGCTGCTACTGGCTCACATTCAGCCTGCGACTCTGTGTTCACTGTGGGGTCAGGGGACACAAGCCAGTTGAGGAGGAGGGACCTGTAGGTGGATTTCCAAGGAGGAATCAACAGGGATCCTCCACCTCCGTGCGCCTCCACACTTGGACCTCTAGTCTCCGCTAACAAACATGAGAACCCTTCACAGTTAAAACCACTAGACACTCACTAGTGTGCTTTCGATTTTGACTCTACCCCACCCGACCCATAATTGCTTGGTCATAACATTTTCAGGATCTAAAGAGAGTAGTCGGTACCGGAGGATCCAGACGCAGAAGGAGCGCGCGGAGGAAGAGCAAGGACAGCTGAGTACTGGTCCCCTGGCTGGGGCACACGCACCACGTAAGTTCGCTCCTAGTCTTGGTCTTCCAACGACCTCGCGTGTCCAAGCGCGCACCCTGCAAGGAGGCGCAGGCTGGGCAGGCACCGTGGTCGGTGGGGAAGCAGCGGTAGGCGGGTGCGGGAGGGGCGGGCGCTGGCGGGGCAGGCTGCCAGGCAGCCAGGCGCTTTGCGCTTTGCTCCCAAGTCTCAGCTTTTGCGATAGGACCTGGAGGGCGACAGCGCGCTCAATGTGTCCTCGGGAGAAACCGCTCCTCCTGGGACACCCGCTCACGGCTACACAAAGAGCCCTGTCTTGGAGAAGTGTCTCTGATCTTGTAGGTGGAAAGGGGCTGAAGTCCCCTGGGACTGATGGACTAAACCATGACCTCCTTGCAGAGGTACTGGGTAGGATCCATTCCTTCCCCTTCTCCATCGCTGCTTCAGACTGGCCCCTGCTAGACAATGGAGAAAAAGAAAAAGGTGGTCCTCAACCTACACTATAATATTTAAAAGTTATTTTTGTATTAACCATATTTAGTATTCAAAAAATTCTAACAAGCTCTATTTATAGAAAATAATTCATTCTGTCTCTTTAATCAACTGTTACAAACTCTAAGGTCTAAGCCCGTTTTTTATCCTGCACTGTTTCTGAATGTGTGGTCCCTACCAAAACAAAATTAAAAAGACAGAAATTAATTTCATTTTCAAATTTTTGCTCCGTTTTCTTTCCACCTTCTATAAACTAGCAATAGAAAAGCGAGAGTAGGAGAGGGAGCAAGGAGGAGTGAGAAACAGCTGGGAGCTTGATCTTTGACACACTGGCCTGAGGAGCTGAGGGGCAGAAAAGCTAATCCTACAACATTTCTTTGCATGCAACTTGATCTTGAGCTTAAACCTCTCAATTTCTGGTTGAAAATGGTCCCTGAGGAATAGAGAGGTAAGAGCCCCTGTAGCCAGACAGGCTAGACTGCAGGGTTCAGTTGCTGGCTTTCGTTCTGGGGAAGCTCAGCTTCCCCCTTTGGAGCAGTGGTAGCTATAAGGTGACAGCCTCGTAGAATGTCACATAACCAGGACAGCAGCAAGCGGAGAGATGAGAGATCATTCTTCTCCTGGCTGTTTAATGGGATGGGGTGGTGGTGGTGGAGGCAGTTTCTTCATCCATGTTCCTCATTATAATCTGCATTAAAATGGATTTATCACTGGTTCTTAGCCTTAACTCCACATTAGATTAGATTCACCTCCTATACTCTCTCTTTTTGCATCAAGAGCAGACTGACTCAGAGAGCTCTGGCTGCCTTCATTTATTGGAGAGGAAAATAATAAAGGAGAACCCCAAACAAATGGGCTGCCTATGGATTGCAGCCTCATCCCCATCCCCAGTCTTATCTTTAAAAATTGGAAAGCAGACATTGGCTGTAAAACACTGCTCAGGTCCAAGCTTGCTTTGGACTCTAGGGGCAGCTTCTTTTTGGTACATCCTGAAAATTGGGCAGAAGCAATTCAGCACTTCCTGGAAAATAAGTAGTTCTTTCCTTCTCCCTAATGAAATTCTATGGCAGATATTTCCAAGAGTTATGCAGACCTACCCAAGGGCAGCTGGGTTCTGAGTCATTCCACGTGGATATTTTTGAACATGTACATGGAAAGTGCAGAAATTGGGAGGTTTTCTTATTATTTTTCATTGACATATATATCTTTTTATTAATATACTAGAGGCCCGGTGCGCAAAAATTTGTGCACTTGGGGGGGAGGGGGGTCCCTCAGCCTGGCCTGTGCCCTCTCGCAGTCTGGGACCCCTCGGGAGATAACGCCCTGCTGGCTTAGGCCTGCTCCCAGGTGGCAGAGGGCAGGCCCAATCCCTAGGTGCAGACCCTGGTCAGGCTCAGAGCAGGGCCGATTGGGGGGTTGGGGCGCCGACCCCTGTCATGCACAGAGCAGGGCAGATTGGGAGGTTG